AGAAGCTACAGATTTTGTGGCCTGCACTGTGCAGGGGGTCAGACTAGATGGTCATAATGGTCCCTTCTGACCTTAAAATCTATGAGTCTATGTCAGTACCAGAGACTGAGGAGAGAGCAGTAATCACTTTGGTACTGGGGGCTGAGTCTTCATGAGATAGCATGCGAGCACCAGAGCTTACACTGGCTCCAGAACAACTGTTGGTACCTGCAGGAAAATTCTCAGCAGAGCCAATTCCTGTTTTTCCAGAATATGAAAATCAGTACAGGAGAGGAACCTGAATGATGCTGGTAACTCTGGGAACTGTTCCTTGGGAGTAAGTATGTTGAGCAATATGGGGGATGATGAACAATTTGTGCACTTCTTGTCATGACACCAGGAGGATAATAAGGAGGATGTTTGAAGTCCTTGTTTCCCAACGAGTCCATGCATTTTAAATTATTCAATTCCAGTACCAACACTGGTGCCACCGGGGGTTACTTGCTGGTAGCCTTCTTGGAACTGGAAGTCTTTTAGATGGTACCAAAGTCTTAATACCACAGGAGGTAGGAGCCTCAGCAGTACCTACACTAAGATACACATCCTCCTTGTTCCTTGGCTTTAAGGGTGAACTTTCCTCTCATCATGGGCTACTTCTCTAGGAAATAGGGCCTTTTGTATTAGAGTATTTAAAAAAAGAGTCTGAAAGCACACCATGTATTTTTTGCTTACCAGATCCAAGGCTGGCACAGCCACCAGAGCATTCTGAGCTGTTGACACCAATGTTTGGAGGGGCTCTCAGATCCTGTCAGTCTCAGGGAACACTCCATTAGTAGCAGTTTCAATCTGTTCTCCCTCAGCATTCTGGATTTGTGTTTGAAGCCAGAACAGACCTTGTACTTAAAGGGGATGAGAAACTCTCCAAAGCAGAGAAGATCAGTGAATGTCTGTTACTGAAGGGGAAGGACAGGCGGTACACCCGACTAGGTGTGAAACCCAGAATTTTTGGCATAACACACAAGAGTCTACAGACAAAGCCCAAACTAGGATCTGACTGAAAATAGTGGAATGATCCCTCTCAAAAAGGACAAGCTAACCAAACCAAACAACCCACACTACAATAACAAAGGTAAGGGATGAATAAGGTATGTATTGGACTCTGTCACTCCAGCTCAAGCTGTAAGTGGCTGAGAAGGAACGGAAGTGGCTATAAATCTGCCTCTGGAACATGAAGTATAGGGTACACAGACACTGATGACAAAAATGTCCAATTGAGAGTGCACTGGTATACACACTACCTTTATGCAGAGCAACCATGGACATAACAATTTGAAGAGTGCAATACTTTATTTAACAGTTAACACCAGAAACTTGGAATCTGGGTCAAGTAATATGAATTTAATGGTGTAAGCACAAAATGAATACTTGCATATCCCAAATCTAGTATACACAATGTGGATAACTTTTGAAATACTTTGCTGATTTTCACAGTGGAAGAAAATGACAATGGAAAGTGAATGGCCTTCTTCTAACAAGAGGAAAAGATTTACTTTGCATAGGTGATCATCTTGAAATTTCTCTTATTAGAAACTGCTCAAGAATTGGGACAGAGGGCTGCAGAACAACAATGTAAATACAATACTAATACCAAACATTTAGAATAAATGATGTACAATAATTAAAATAACCCTAAAATATGTTTTTCCAAATAAGATGTTTAAAGAAGCTGAGAAAAATCACAGAACATTTAGTAACTCTTTATAATAAGTAGCTCGAGATATTCCCCCCAAAAAGAAAAGAAAATTAATATTGAGTTGTGTACGCATTTTAAACATAAATAGAAAAACTAATGCCAAACACTTAAAATAGAGAATAATTTGATCACACACACATACACCCCTCCTTGTGAGAAATAATGAAGCTTTAAAACAAGAGCATCTGGTTCTTATTGCAACTGCATTTTACATAAGTGCCAGTCTACTGACTTCAGTGTAGTGATGTGAAAAGTTAACCAGTTGACCAGTAAGCATCACTCAATGGATGATGTTTACCGGTTCTGGTTAACCAGTGGGGGGCTGGGAGCAACTCCTGCCATGGGCCTGCCAAGGATATGGGTGCTCCAGTCTGGCTGGAGCAGCCCTGGGACAGCTGGAGCAGTTCCCACACAAGCAGGGGCTGCTCTGGCTGGGCTGGAGCAGCCCTCCCTCCACCTGCCCTCCAACCCTCCCTTTAATCAGTTAACCGGTTAAACATCATGGTTAACTGGTTAACCAATTAAATGGGATTTTACATCCCTACTTCATTAGATTTGAATTTCAAGCTGTATCAATCAAGTTAAGTGATATGGATAATCAAACCCATGCATGGCAGGAAATATGTCTTCTTTAATACTAACAGCAAATCTAGTTGTCACACTTGAGAATGCCTGTATATAATTAAAGATGGTATTAATGTTTACCTCGATTTAAAGGAGTAATGCAATAGTATCTATT